ATTTTTCAGAATATTTCGGTATATTAAAACAGCTGTTGCTTTATTTAAAATGCACGTAGGATACTTTTAGTTACACGAATTTCAAGGTCTTGTGAAAACCTACAAGTCTATAGGCTTATAATTTATTTTATTTTGGTGACGAAATTCGAGCAAAGCAAGAATTTCGGCCACTTTTTAGCCGATTCCTGACACCGTGCGGCGTGCAGAGCTGAAGACGTTCTCGACTTGATACACACAGATGTATGTGGGCCTATGAAAGTAGCCGCAATTGGTGGAGCTAAATACTTGTTAACTTTAACAGATGATCATAGTCGCTTCACGAAAGTTTACTTCATCAAAGAAAAATCTCAAGTCCCAGATAAGATAAAAGAGTTTATTAATTTAGCGGAAACGCAATTAGGAAAAGTCGCAAAGGCAATTAGGTCCGACAACAGACGAGAATTTATTAATGAATCCTTGCGCAACTTCTATGCTCAGAAAGGCATAGCATGTCAATCATCCTGTTCATATACGCCTCAGCAGAACGGAGTAGCCGAGCATAAAAACAGAACAATAGTGGAAAAAGCTAAAGCTCTACTTGCACAAGCCAACTTGCCAAAATGATTTTGGCAAGAAGCAGTTGCAACGGCCGTATACCTTATGAACAGATCCCCGACAACGATCTTGGAGAACTCAACGACAATAGAAAAATGGACAGGCAGAAAGCCAGACATAGGACCGATGTAAAAGAAATACACGATAAAACAACTTCCGAGTCAGAAGATGAGCTTGAAGAACCCCGAGAGTATGTGAAAAGTCCAAGGCCACAGAGGCAGAGAAGAAAACCACAATGGTTCGGCGATTATGTCATGATGACGCATCTTATGCCGGAAACGCAAGAGCCAACAACGTGGCAAGACGCAGTTAATTCTGAGTACAAACAAGGGTGGTCAGATGCAATAAAAGCCGAGCTTGCGTCCTTCAAAGCCAGCAATACTTGGACTTTAGTAGATCTCCCTAAAAATAAATCGACCATAGGACTTAAGTGGGTGTTCAAGATAAAGAAGAAATGCGACGGATCAATTTAAGGCGAGATTAGTAGCGCGCGGATTTATGCAAGTAGCCGGAGCAGATTACACTGATACATACGCTCCAGTGGTGAGATATACAAGCATAAGGTTTTTGCTTGCCCTGGCAGTCAAGTTTAATTTACATCTATTCGAGATATATGTAGATCAACCGAAACCTTTCGTAAACCAACAGTTCCCAGAATAAGTTTATAAACTGAATAAAGCGCTGTATGGATTAAAACAAGGGTCTCGTAGCTGGAATGAGAGACTGAAAAGGATTTTACTTGGACTTGGATTCATACAGTGTAAGACAGATCAGTGTATTTTCAGTCTATACAAGCCAGAGACAAGGGAATGTCTAGTTTTGGCTGTTTATGTAGACGATGAAATAATAATTACAAACTCAGTAATGATGAAAAATCAATTGATTAGCATGTTGGAGAAAGATTTGAACGTAAAAGATTTAAAAGAGCTGAAATTTTTCCTAAGTATGAAAGTGGATTACAAGCAAGGCAGTACTATGTTTCTATCCCAACGGCACTACGCAGAAGACATATTAAAAAGATTGCGAATGCAAGATTGTCATGGCGTAAACACTCCTATGGATATAAATCAGAAACTGTCAAAATTAATGAGCCAGGAACATGTAAGCCCAGAGAGCCCAAACTTCCCTTATCAAGAGGCAATTGGAACATTACTGTATCTGAGCCAAACTTCAAGACCAGATATTTGTTTTGCGGCATCGTTTTTGAGCTCATTCAATCAAGAACCTAAGGGAGCACATATAAAAGCGGTAAAGCGAGTCATGAGGTATATCCAAGGTACCAAGGATGCTAACATAGCATTTGATCCAGATTCAAAGCAAGGATTAGTTGGATATTGCGATTCAGATTGGGCAAACAATGAAGACAACAGAAGATCAGTGTCAGGATACATCTTCATGTTCCAAGGTGGACTTATCTCATGGGCAAGTAGGAGGCAAAGGACAGTAGCATTGTCGAGTTGTGAAGCAGAGTACATGGCCCTGGCAGCAGCTTGTCAAGAAGCAAAATGGTTGAGAAGCCTCATCAAGGAGATTGATAGTAACTCAATTGAAGGACCAACAGTTATCTATTGTGATAATAAGGGAGCAATAGATTTGGCAAAAACCTGCGCTTATAGGATCGATATCAAATATCATTTTATACGCGAGTGCATCGATAATAAGGAAGTAAGGATTAAGAAAGTACCAACAGAAGAAATGTTTGCTAATTTTCTCACAAAGCCACTTATAGTCCAGTCAAATTAGTTTTGAACGTGAAAAAATTCGCAACCAGCATTTCTCACCGGGATTCGTTAGGGTTCGATGGTAGGAATGAAGTAATAACAAATGCCACAGTTAAGTCGATTGGAATTTCAACAATTGGGCCCTTTGAAATTAGGAAAATCGGTTTTTCGGCTACAGATAGAAAACCGTACATTTTATGAAAAAAAGTTTCAAACAAAAGTTGTAGGTCCTTGCAAGACCTTCAATTTGACATATATAACATTGGAAATCGGTTCATTTGATTATTAAAAACGCCTCAATTGTCAATAACAACAAAAGGGACTTACGGACATCGCAAGAATATCTAAGTGGGCTCAAATCAAAGATAATTACTTTTTATTTTGTGATCTATGATAAAAATATGTTATTTTACAAAAGTAGAAGTAATTATCTTTGATTTGAGCCCACTTAGATATTCTTGCGATGTCCGTAAGTCCCTTTTGTTGTTATTGACAATTGAGGCGTTTTTAATAATCAAATGAACCGATTTCCAATGTTATATATGTCAAATTGAAGGTCTTGCAAGGACCTACAACTTTTGTTTGAAACTTTTTTTCATAAAATGTACGGTTTTCTATCTGTAGCCGAAAAACCGATTTTCCTAATTTCAAAGGGCCCAATTGTTGAAATTCCAATCGACTTAACTGTGGCATTTGTTATTACTTCATTCCTGCCATCGAACCCTAACGGATCCCGGTGAGAAACGCCGGTTGCGAATTTTTTCATTTTTAACATAGAGTCAGATCCAACTGGACTGGACTATTAATTATCCGCCTCTAGCCGCTCGCATCGCCAGGCCTCGAGGTGGTCGAATCAAGAACGAATGGATCTTTAATGTCTGCTACTCCCGTAAAAAATGCATACAGTTTTACGCAGATTGCACTAACATTTTTGATGGACAAAACAAATTACTTATAATTATACTCAATTACTTAACGAAAAATGTTGACCACTTATCATTAACCATTAAGCAATAGCATTTTATTATACACGGCCTTTTCCTTCGAAAAATAACCTCATTAATTGATCATGGACGTGATACTCTATACTGGGTTTTTGCCAATCACGCATTCGATTCCTTTCTGGCCAGAACCGATAAAACATGGCAAAGATTTAGTTCATAGTGGGCACGTTACCGACGTCAAAGAAGAATTTGGATTAAATAACACGAAAAGAATAAGCGCTTTGTGCGTGAAAACTAAAAAATTAAATGAATCTATAAATTACTATAAATTAGAACTTCACGTTAGTTATGCACAGCATACTTTTTTCATTTTAACATTTTTAATTAACTCAATTTAAATTTACTATAATCATGATTATATTTACAGATTAATGAAAAAAGACACGTTACAGATGCTAAGTGTAATTGTCTAGCAGGAATTACCAAAGATCGCAAACATATTCATGCTCTCATTTTTTATATAAATAATAATCGAAGTATCAGTAAGACGTCTGTTGAGCAAGAATGGGGAAAACCCTCTTCAAAGCAAGCTGCCAAAGAAAAATATGTTAAAGCAGCCAAACTCGAAGATGTTTCTTCCGCAAAAAGACTGATTACTTCTTCAATTAAAATTAATGAGCCATTCGATTTATCACTAAGTGATGTAAAAAATTTAAATTGCCCACTTCGAAACTTTTTAGAATATAAAAATACAAACAAAGTGAAATTGTTAGCAAAAGATATTTTAAAAGATATCATCAATGACGTTGTTAATAATAGTATGAATGAAGAAATTATTGCATGTGCAGAAAAATTGTTTAGAAATTCTTGGAAAAGCAATATTTATATCTCGCTGGACTTGTCAAAACTTGACCCCATTCTAAAACAATTTTATCACAGCAATGTAGTATTATGTGAAAAAGAAATCATTAAATTCTGCTTGGAAAGTACAAACCAAAGTAGTTGTGATGAATGGCATAGTGCTAGAAGTATTCGAATAACGGCTAGTCAAAAAGCTCACAAAGTTAAAGTTTGTTTAGAAAAAACACTTGATTTTTGGCTGAGAAATTTGTTAAGAAAGACAATGTTCCTATACCAGTGAAAAAACGTAAAACCAAAAGTATTAGTGCACTAGAGTATGGATTACAACATAAACAGGAAGCAATCAATTGTTATGCCAAAGACCAGCCTCTGCACATGAAAATTATTCAAATAGGTGCCTTTGTAATGCCTGGTGAACCTTGGATGCTAGTCAGTGCAGATGCTATTAGTATCAATACTATTAATGGTGATATTAAAGTAATAGAAGTAAAATGCCCAAGTAGCTGTAGAAGTAAAGCAATTTACGATTCTTCTGCAAACAAGTGCAATGTTGGACATTTAAAAATTGTTGATGGAATGATAGAACTGCAAAAAAACCATCAATATTTCACGCAATGCCAAATTTTAATGTATGCAACAGGTACATCTTCATGTGACTTTTTGGCATGGTCCCCAAAAGGTTCTTGTTTACTTAATGTTTTAAGAGATAATGACTTTTTGTCTAGTGTTATACCATCACTGAAAACATTTTATTTTACCAATTACTTACCATTAATATATAATAATTATAAAAAACTTGATAAAGAGAATAATGTAAATTGAAAAAATAACTATTGATAAAATAATTGAAACAAGTCATTTATTTTCAAAACCTTTATTATTAGTACAATTGATTATAAAATTCTGCTTTTATTATTGGAGGTTGTAAGTTCACTAGAACACAACACATAAATACTATACTATCAGCATGAGGTAACATTTTATTTGTGAAATGGTCAACTACTTTGTATAAACGTATTCGCTGCATGATCCTTTCTATGTGTATCCTTACTCTAGCAATGTTCCTCTGCTCTTCTCTTTGAACTTCATCCAGATGATGATTTTGAACAAATGGTGGCATAACTGTCAACACATGTTTACCATTTTGCATGAGTTATTCTTGAATAGTTGGAAACCCCTTATCAGCCAAAATGATGTCACCACTTTCTAATAATTGCATAAGTTTAGATGCAGCAGTAATTTGAACATCACTAGCTCTGCCTCCATAGCCATCACTCATAAATGTTATTAATCCACCTAGCATACATCCAATTACATACTTTATTTTGTATCCACTTTTGTAATGAGACCAGGTTTGAATTTGTTGATCTATATGTGGTGGTTGCTCTATCCTGAATTCTGTAGCATCAATTATTATCCTGCAATTACTATAATCAGGTTTAAAACAGTCTGGTGTAGTTCCTCGCACTTCATCTTGTGTTGGCCAAGGTACAAACTCCTTGCATGCAATTACTAAGAATTCTAAAAGCTTATAAAATATTGTGGACGCAGTTGTTCTATGTATACCGAAGAAAGAACTTATTGCAGAAAATGTCATTCCTGTTTTCATTTTCACAAGAAAGATAAGAAGCTTATTTTCTTGGCTTATACACTTCTTATTGTTGTCAAAAAAGCGACCACGTTTACATTTCAATATCACTTTCAGAAGCAATTTAAAAACACCTAGACTGACCCCAGTTATGTATTCTAGGCTTTCTTCATTTAAACCGTCATAACCTTTGAAACCTCTGATGCCAAATACATCAAATAGTTCTAAAAAACTATCAATTGATTTTTCTGTTATTTTGGCATCACTTTTAGAACTGCTATCAGTCGATTCTGAACACTGGGTCTGTGCCTCACAATTAATTTTACCATCGATAACTGTTGACTTTAAATTGCACAAAATAATGTTATGAGTCACTGCACTGCTACTTTCATCACTGAGTAATTCTTCAGGTTCTACTTGAGTCATGACATCTTTCTTTAAAATAGAAGTATCATCGGCTACAGGTATTGGTACATGTTCAACATTGTCAGTGTTCAAATCCAAATCTATTTCACTTAATGTTTTTATCTGGCTTTCATTCGTAATTTGTGCTGCAGTCGAATGATTGCGTGTTTTATTTCTGTTTATCAAACGATTATATCGTTCAATTGCTGCCTCAGGAAGAATAGATATTTTCTTAAATCTAGGAAATAAAGTTGGATTAAAACTGGGACTACGTGGATCTTCAGACTTTAAATTTCCAATGAAATGTTGATTGCAAATTCTATGATTTTTAGGCTCCCATGTAGGATCTAAATTATTGGATCTAACAGCTTGTATACAAGCAGCTCGTCTATCAGATTTGTATTCATAATTCTTCTAGCAGTAGGAAAACGGTATAGCATAGCTCCTTTCTTTGAATTACTTTTACATTGATTCACACAACACTTCATTTCAAAAAATTGCTTCGAACTGTTTTAAAAATTAATTAAAGCATAGAATTGTTACTTTCGTTGCACAGCACGATATACAAATAAAGCAGACTACTAGCCTCCATTTACTCCAAATTCTGCCGCTACCAGCCATGGCGCTACGAGCGGCTCGAGGCGGATATGAAGTTAGAAATGTGTTGTGAAGGTGTTGACTTAAAGACTAGTGATTAATTTGATTTTGTTTTTTTTTATTTACATAAATATTGATTATATTGTTGTTTTCTCATATGTTTGAATTAATTTAATGTAAGATGAATTTTTAGTTTTTGTTAACGAATAATGTATTATTCAATTTAAAGGGAGTGTTGAGATAAATTTCATATATACATGTAATAATAGCGACACCTGTATAGGCAGGTCTGCGGCGAGTGCTCCGATTGAGCGAGTGTTAGTCGCTTGTGTATCACGCTAGAGAGCTGATCATAATAAACTCATTATTCGTCTACGTAACTTATTTCAGTTCGTTTCCATACCTCTGTTTCTTTATATATTCGTACAATTAAATATATAAAAATGTCGACACGGGAGATCGAAATGAAGGACGATAATTCGTCTCGATTTTTTGAGGTGGAAAATGACAGAATATCATTAACAACCTTAAAAATGTACTACCCCAAAATTGTTGGACTAACCTACAAATAGGATAACAAACCCTACTGCGTCATGATGGAAGATAATTTTCTGAAGTGTGTGCCTCTTATGAAGTATATACAAAAAAAACAAGGTAAGCATAAATTATATTCATCATTATTAATCGAACTGTTGAATATTCTATAATAATAAAATCGATATAATTACAGATCATAATTCTGGTACCTTGTCGGAATTCCAACAAGAAAAATTTTTGAACGTAATGAAAGTTCTACATGGACAAAAAACGCCTGAAAAAGAGGTAATACGCTTTTATTTTTTTATTGACTTTGGCTTTTTTATTGATTTAATACAATTTATAAATTCTAATTATCTATTATCTAACTAACTTTGACTCTAAACTCATTATTTATATATTGCTTTTAGCATATAATGAACCTTAATAATCTTGTCACTTACAGCAGGATCGCAAGAAAATTGGAAAAAGAAGATCAGAAGAGTCGAAATTAAAGAGTCCATCATCTGGTAATTTAAGAAAAATACCAATCATGTGGTATCACAGAGATGCAGTAACTCAAAACTTCTATAAGATGCCACCGAATACAGTAAAAGAAATTCATCTTGATAGTAAAAAAGACTACTCCGTTAATGAAGTAATTTCAAAGTGCATTGAGGTCTATCGAAATGACTTGAACCAAAACTATTTTAATAAAAGCCATGTCAACCTTGGAAGGAAGGACCAAACTTTCATAGAAAATTTTGGTTCTCTAGGCATCTGGGAGTATCTGAAAGCAGCATCATCAAAGTCGCATCGAACTATAACTTTATATTTATACAGCAAATCTTAATGAAGCTGGAATACTCAAACCTCTTTGTGAAAATATTAAGAAAAGTCCCGTTCAGACTGATGGTAAATAGGAATTAATCGGTAAAGAAAATACATGGACCATTAATGATTTGCCATCATGTAAATCTCTATTAAAACCTGGTGCTGCTAGTGATGAAAATGAATTAAAAGAAAACGACAGGAATCTTTTTAGTGAACCGAGTGCCCCTGCGCCCAAGAAAAGAAAAACTTGCAATGAGCTTGATATCAATAATCTGCAGGTCAAAATTTTAGACAAAGTACCCATACAAGATTTAAAATTTACAGATGATATTTTGGGTAAAGGAGCTTTTGGCCTAGTCCGAAGAGGTGTCTGGTCAGAAAGTGATGTAGCTATTAAAACCATTGATTTAATGCAGGAAAACCACAGAGACGTCATGAAAGAAGTTGCCATTCTACGACAAGTGAGACACAAACACATTGTGATAATGATGGGTTATTGTGTCAATAAAAATGATTTTCATATTATAATGGAGTATATCAAAAATCATACATTGCAGGAACTAATTTTTAGGGATAGCGTCAAATCAAAATTTCTTTTGAGTGCAAGTGATGAAATCAGAATAACTCGTCAAATGTTGCTTGGTATAGAACTTCTACATGCATTTCCTGAATCAATTATTCATCGTGACATCAAACCGGCTAACATTATAATTACTAGCAATAAAAGTGTGAAGATTTGTGATCTTGGTGTTTCTAAAATGAATGAGCTTAACTCCCAGTTAATGACCACACAAGGATGTGTAAATATTGTTGGAACCCCAATGTACATGGCACCAGAAATGTTTCTACATAGACAACCGGCTACAATTTATTCAGATATTTGGTCATTCGCATGCACCATAGTTGAACTATTCAATGAAGATCATGTTTGGCAATTAAATGGAGGAGGAAGATATCAACTTGAACAGCTTTTGAACGATATGCAAGAGCCTGATTTAGAAAATATACCAAAATTTTTATTGGAAGAAATCAAAGACTGTTTTAATTATGTTTACCACTTGAGACCAAAGGCTAAAAAAATATTGCAAGTATTTAAACTGTGTGGAGATAAGTTGGACAGTGACTAATATTTTTGTGCTTGATATTGCCATATAAAGCTAATAATTGGTATTTTAAGTTGAAAACTTCACAATCACATTACTTCTTTTTACATTATTTATAAAATTACAATTAATATAAAGTTTCATTTTGTGCTTACATTGCATAAATATAAGTTTTAGATAATAAACAACATAAGTACAATTCAATGTAAAGACTGTGTGAGAGCGAGTCAATAGCATTAGTTTCCAAGTGTAATTGCCAATAGTTGGTAAAAGTTTTTTTAGATAAAAAGTATCTATTTTTTTATTGACAGAGACTTATAAGAAAGAGGGTAGAAATATTTCATTATAGAGCGTGGAAGCATTCATTATGAATCGCCTACTTTGTGTTTACTGTGTAACAGTCTTAAAAAGGTAAAAATAGAATACCAAAAATATGTTTTTTGATTTTATTAGTATTTTAAGTTAATTTGCTGTCATCATGAAAAGCTATAAATGATTTAAACACAATGTAAAGTTAAGTATGTAAACTTAGAGAGAGAAAACTGTTATTAAAAGTGAGTCAATTGTGTTAAATGTATACATTTCATGATCAATAGTCAGTAAAAGTAAAACTTAAATTAAAAAAAAGTTATTTATTTTTGAGATTCACGAGATTAAATTAGAAAGAGTGTATCAAAATTTCTAATTATAAATAATCTATTTTGTGTTATTGTTTAACAGGCTGAACATGTATCTCTTTGTATTCTTAAAGTAATGATCAATAAAACACATTTACCAAGTAACGTTTTATATGTATTTATTTTCTACTAAATTATAATATATATATTTGCTTGACAAAAGTTCATATTTGGTTATAATGAGTATCAATTTTCTGTAAAATTAGTTTGCAAGTAACATATGCTTCTTCAACGCTTTTTGGTATTTGTATACCTGGCTGGACCATTTCAATGACACTTTGAATTTCTTCACTAAATAACGTTGGTGGAATTGTAAATTGTAGTAATAATTCATCAATTTGTTTTTTTTCTGGCACTTTTACAAAGGACTTGCCATTGTATTTTTCAGGCCAGTTATAAATGACATTTGGTATTCCACATGGTGACTTAGGATTATTTTGTTGACGTACTCTGTGCTCGTTCCACTCGTTCATTGCTCTTGTTAAATCACGTTGTATTATAGTTCCAAAACAGAAACGTAGACACTCAACATGCACATTATTCGACCCATCAAACTCATTCAAACTTTGCATTTTTTTAAAAATTCTAATGTAGAATTCAGTCATGTGGTTACGCAATTGTTTCCAGTACTTCTCAATTCTTTCGTTAGCAGTACTCTTTCCTTTTAAGAAGCTGTTATAATTTGCTCTGCTATCTTCATCATTAAAGCGAAGAGCTATTTGAATCACTTCAATCAAAGTATTTTCACTTCCTTTGTCAGATCTAACAACACTAGGTACACAATTATGAGTAAGCAGAGTTTGAAGATAATAATAAGCAATCACTTCTGGCTTGTTATTAGTTGTTGCTACATTTAGCCATAACACCTTCCTGGAGTAGCCATCCACACACCCACTAATTGCAAAGCCAAATTTTTTTAACTTGTCATGTCCATCAACGTGCCACAAATGATTTGGTCCAGCTACAGCATATTGTCTACGTTTTAATCTATATCTGGAGCGAGCTTCAATCCCAGCAGGATTAATTTTTCTCAATAACTCTAAAACACTGTCTCTTTTCACAATTAAATGATACTCTGTCTTCAAACGCAGCCACACAGCTCTGTAACCTAAATTGAAACCAGAGCTAGTTTGAATTTCAATCATAGCTTTTACAATTTCTTCAACATCACTTTCAACGATATTTTTCCTTTTAATATTCAATTTTTTCAATTTTCTTCTCAAATTACGTTCTGATATTTTGAAATAATGCTTAATAAAAAGCAAGTGGCGAATTTCTGCATAGTTATATAGGCGCTGACAGTAATTCAGAATTATCTTATCTAAATCACTATGACTTTCTGCATCTGTAAATTAAATTTGGTTTTTTTGTTAGAAATTAAAATTGATTAATTACAATGACTATATTATATTAATAAACATATTCGCCGTTGCTTACGAGTAAAAACACATATCATCGAAGCGCCGTGAAAAAAAACACACCTCTTTGGATACCATGAAAAAAAAACACACCTCTTCGGAGCGCTACGAAAAAAAAACACACCTCATCTGAGCTCTGCGAAAAAAAGCACACCTCATTGAATGCCATGAAAAAAAACCCAGCACATTGGATGCCGCGAAAAAAAACACAGCTCATTAGATGCCGCGAAAAAAAACACACCGCATCGAAACTGGTTGCGTTTTTTTTCTGCTGTGTTTTTTTTCGCGGCATCCAATGAGGTGTATTTTTTTCGCGGCATCAAATTTGCTGTGTTTTTTTTCACGGCATTTAATGTGCTGTGTTTTTTTTCATGGCATTCAATGAGCTGTGTTTTTTTTCGGGGCATTTTATCAGTATGTTTTTTTTCGTAGCGTTTTTCACTGTGTTTTTACTCGTAAGCAACGGCGATATATATGTTACCGGCAAAACCCGCTTTTAGGCAAAAGTGACTTTTGCCTAGGCAAAAACAAAAATGCCTAAAATTTTAGGCAAAACCCGCAATGCCTAAAAAAGTATAGGAAATTCCTAAATTTCTTAGGCAAAACCCGCAATGCCTAAGCAATTTTAGGCAAAACCCGCAATGCCTAAATAATTTTAGGCATTACTGTAAACACGTTAGTATACGACTAGTCAGCATCTAAGCCGGACGTGTTTGTTAGTTTTGTTTTGGATCTAACCCAATACGGATACAAGCCCATACTCTCACTATTTGAAAGAAAAATGGAAACTGAAAGCAATAATTGGAAAGAGCAGTTCCTTGCCGAGGCTCGAAAAAAAGAGCACTATAAAGTTCTGTCAATGGCAGAGATAGAAGAAATTATTAAAGACCTGCTTATCGGAAAAGTCACGTCAAAAAAGTCTTTTCAGCAAATAAGACGTGCAAAACGATTCGATGTATTAGAAGTAGATGGTGTGAATCGACTTATCTCCAAGATCAAACCCGGTAATGGCATAAAGTATTATGTAGCGCTTGAAGATGTCTTTGATATCATTCAAGCCGCGCATATTGCGACCGGACATGGTGGGCGCGATAGGCTTTTGAAAGAAACTTCGATCAAGTACGCAAACGTTACAAGAGAATTGATAGAATTATATTTAAACGTGTGTGAGGTCTGTCACCAGAAAAAAATAAAGAGAAGGAGGGGGGTGGTATCCAAGCCAATTTTGCATGCAGAAATGAATAGTAGATGCCAGGTGGACCTTATTGACTTTCAATCATCAAGTGTCGATGGGTTTAAGTGGATAATGGTATACCAGGATCACTTGACGAAATTTGTCGTTCTGAATGCATTAAAAACAAAACGCGCAGAAGAGGTACGTAAAATTATGAAAATTACAATTACGAATTGACTTGAATATATATTTATTAATGCAGGTCGCACATCATTTAGTTCGGATATTTTTGACGTTTGGTGCCCCGTGCTTGTTGCATTCCGATAATGGAAGAGAATTCGTGAACTCTATTATCAGTGAGTTGAAAATATTGTGGCCTGAACTGATATTAGTCCACGGAAAACCTCGACACAGTCAATCACAAGGCTCTGTCGAGAGAGCTAATCAGGATATTGAAAATATGATAGCGACGTGGCTAATACATAACAAAACTAGCAGATGGGTCGATGCTCTACCTTTCATACAATTTATGAAGAATAGAGCATACCACTCTGGTATTAAACAATCGCCCTACAAAGCGATGTTCGGTATGGATCCGAAAATTGGCCTGGCTATTTCTAGTCTTCCTAATGATGTTGCTAAAAAAATACGTGATGAGGATGAGCTTTTCAATGTGATTGAGAGCATTAGACAGGATGACATTCCTGTGCATAGTACATCATTAGGAGACGAATGTACTGAGCAACTTGAACGTACACAGCTACTTGACACAGAACCAGCCGTATGTGATCAACGATGGGATGAACCGACCGCTCCTCAAAACCATAATATTATTGTATCGAGAAAAAGAGCTGCGGACGCTCTAGAACACCAGGCCAAGCGAATGAAAACAAGATCTGACAAGGCTTATACAGAAATCGAAGTAGGCGATTGTGTAATGATACCAATTCCTGATGTAGATCGAGCTACAAGCGATTTACGCAATGTGATTGGTGTGGTGTTGGAAAAAAATGACGGCCTATATAAAATCGGATCAAAACATGGGATAATCAACAAACAATTTTGTAGGTAAAACGTACTACGTCCGTCCGTAATTGCTTCATTTCATTAACTTTTTTTTTATTCGTAGATCTGAATTCGATGTGTGCCGAAAAAATTTTTTGGCTAAATCTGAAGTACCACTACAAGAAATTTTATCATTGCGTACGATTGCGAATAAGCAATCTACGAGTGGAGGACAAGGCTTCTTCAAATGTACTTGCAAAACCGCTTGCAAGACAAAGATATGCATGTGCCGAAAAAATAACGTTTTATGTAATTCCAAATGCCACAATAGTTTAAGTTGCTGTAACAAATGATAACAAATTATTGAACTGATTTGACAAAGCTTAACTTAAAGTGAGCTTGGACTTTTGTACTTTAATAAATGCAAATTTTTAAACTTTACATTAATTTTTTACTTAAAATTTTTAGCTTACAGTAATGCCTAAAATTTTTTAGGCATTGCGGGTTTTGCCTAAAAAATTGTAGGCATTTCGGGTAATGCCTAAGATTTAGGAAGTTCATATATTTCTGCGGGTTTTGCCTAAAATTTTAGGCATTTTTGTTTTTGCCTAGGCAAAAGTCACTTTTGCCTAAAAGCGGGTTTTGCTGGTAACATATACATATACTAGGGGGGCTGCGCCCCCCTGCTCGCTCCGCTCGCCAACCCCCCCGTTAGGGTGATATACATTTTATTTTTTAATGAGGAAAAGG